ACTGAGCTAGAGTTAGACAAGTAGGAGAGAACCCTGGGAACGAGGTTAGAGTTAGACTAACCATGAAATAGATAAACGCGTGTTAGTGTCACGTGACGATGTTATGTCCCGGCGTAGTACCTTTAGCACAGTTCTGACAGTTTTATGTGTTTCAGGAAATATCATTTCTCAATACTTTTAATATGGGAGAAGCATCGTCTCCTTGACCTGCAACCTGTTTGCCTTATTAAGATTCCTCTCCTGAGCATACAAAACCCTTCTGTCACCCTACTCTGATATTAGTAAGATTTTTCAACTCTGACCAAAAGATCTCGTTGAGCGTTGATGTGTAGCGAAGACTGAGTTTTTTTTAAGGCGAATGTGGACTAGACTCCTGCGAGTAAAACATCCAGTTTAACGTAAAAGATAGGATGGTATTTTACCCTGAACCTGATTTAGTATGAGCTTACCAGAAGATTCATGAGCGAGATTGACATTACAATGATGAAAGTGAAGCAGATAAAGCGAGCGAGATCTGGCATGGGAATCTCTTTCTCCACAAAGTAATGATTAAACTCAATTCCTCCAGCCATCATGTCAAACACCTTTAGGACAGACATGTACGGGTTCTGGTACGACAGCTACAAACAAAAGAATAGTTATTAGCTTGGGTACAAATGGATACGGTTCAGAGTAAGGGAGTCTAGACCCGGGGGTACTGTATAGGCTGCGTGGCAGGCGTTTGAAAGGGAAGGGAAAGGGAGAAACGCGAAACGCAAAACGCGAGGGATGCGCGAGGCGGGAAGGAGGTAGGGAAACGCCTGCTTTTCTCTCGCGCCTAATTTAAAAACTCCCTTTCCCAAAACTTTCAAACGCCTGCCACGCAGGCTAGGTTCTGTATGAAAGTGACGCTCAGATGGAGCGGAGCTCGTCCATCGTTTCGCAAACGGGTATAAAATTATAACAAATATTATTCTCAGTTGGGGTGTTCAGGATCGAAAGGCAATCTTCTTCTTGCCAATGATTTTATCGCTTAGGAATGAGGTCTTCCAAGGGGGGAGGAGGGGGGGTTTGTGTCGCTTTGTCAGTCATTTCTTAGACCGTCTCCCGCCTGGTAGGTTACTAATTGCATGACGTTTTGTGTGGAGAATTTGTATGTGGATACTGGGGTT